GAGCCGTGCTTGGCGGCTGTAGCGATGAGCGGATGGAGCGATCCGTCTGGTGCGTCCCCACTCCATCAGTGGGGAGAGGGCGTGTGTCAGAGTCGCGATGCGGAGCTTTACGCCTGTTGAACGGCGGCGGCTTCTACCAGCGTCCGGAGGTTTCGGTAGACCGCCCGCTCGGGGGGGTCGACAGGCTCGGGAACGCCGCGCAGAAGCATTGCCGCAGCGGCGATGTTCTGGCTAGCCCGAGCGAACTGTGGGGGGTCATTTCCCTCGTTCATGATGTCGCGCTGGACCTAGCGGGCGCGACCCCGAGCGCTGCCCGCCGAGTCATGCGCGTGGGGCGCAACGTGCAGCACCGAGCACGCCGGCGCAGGCGGCAACTGGTTCTGCCGCTGTCGTCGTAGCTCCTCGGCGTGCTCTTGTGCAAGCATGAGGGCCCCCAAACGTGGGTCCGGAGGGGTGTGAGTCTGCATAGACTCCGCAATCACAGGTGGCTGCCCCGGAGCGTCCGCCAAAGCACACTCCTGGGACGGACGGTGGCTAGGTGCCATGTCACCGATGCTGGAGCCGTCGCTCTCAACCTCGTCATCCAGGAGTTCGTGGGAAGTGGTGGGAGCATAGCTCACCATTCCCACAAATTCGGATGTGAGAGGGGATGGCGCCAGCGTCCTTCGGAGCCCCCGAGCGTCCGTGGGAGACGTGAGGCCGTAGGGGAACCGATCGTATAGTGTTCGTGGTGTGGACAATACGGTCCCTCCGGATAATCGGCGGGAGATAGTAAATAGATAGTAAATAACAGTATGCACATTACTCACAGCGGGGTTTGAGCAGAGAGTTTGCTCGGAATGAAGCGCAGGTGCCTCGTCGTTGAAGTCATCGTGTGTCCTGGAGCCGACGGAGGGCGCCCCTCCGACGGGCGCCGGAACAAGTGCCTCCTCGCGGAGGTGTAGTATGCCGAGCCGGTCGGCGACGAAGTCCAGGCTTCCGAAGAGGAAGGCCTGGGACGGCTCGAAGACGAGTGGAACCCACATCCCAACAGGTGGGAGTGCGGGAAACTCCAGTGAGCCGAAGCGAGTCGTATCGCTTGAGCTCGCCACGAAGAAGGTGGCAGAAAAGTGGGCCATCCGATGACCAAAAAGTGTTGAACGTACAACGTCTTCCCCACGGACGGCGCCAACTGTCGGTGCAGAAAATAACCAACACGTAAATATTTGTAGTTTTGCTGTACGTTGTGATCGGAGGTGGCCTAGCACTCAATGACACAGGGTTTATATTGGTTCAGGCAACGTGCCCTACGTCCAGTTTGAGTCAGTTGGTGACTTTATTCCTGAGCCTAGGTGCTCGAAGTTTGCAGTGGGATTACAAACGAGAAGGAGAAAGATAGAGGGTATAAGAGGTTCGGTCGGACTCTGGTCTGAAGGGCCGAGAGTGACGGGTGCTCCGCTACGTGCTAAGTGTTTGAGCGTGTGCTCGTGGTTTGAACCTGGTGGTTCTGTTGTTGTGTCTTAGTGAACTGATCGATCCTTTTGTTGGGAGAGAGCTCATCCCCATTTATAGATGAAGGGGATGCCCTTATAAGTGAGAGAGAGAGAGTACGTATGCTGCTAAGCCTTGCTGCCCACGCCGGCGGGTACAAGATGATGGTAGGTGCCCACAATACTGTTTAATGTTAGTTGCACGTGGGAGGTTGCGTCGTCTTCTTCTGGTATGGCAGACGTCGGTGCCTGTCATACTGTTGATGCCGAGAGGTATGTAGGGGGTTTTACCATGTTCGCCTGGTATGGTAAATGCCAGCGCCCACAACACTGTTGATGCCGAGAGGTATGTAGGGTGTTTTACCATGTTCGCCTGGTATGGTAAATGCCGGCGCCCACAACACTGTTGATGCTCAGAGGCACGTGGGGAGAGCCTTACCGTATTTGTCTGGTATGGGAGTTGATGGCGCCCACAACACTGTAGTGAAAATGTCGGCGCCTACAACACTGTTTGGGTTCTGTCAAGCCAGGGAGATCGCAGGGTACTGTCCTTCAGGTGCACAGGGTACGGTCCTCGGTATTGCGGTTGACTTTAAATGCCCTGCCTTACTTTCTCCGTCCGTTTCCTGGTCCTTACCGAGCGGGCATCCCCGATCGGTTGGTCCTAGTCGGCTCTGACTGCGCCAGCCAAAGAGGAATTGTAAGCAGGGGTTTGGCGCATTCCGGTCAAAGAAGCGGGTCGGAGTCAGAAGTGGTGTTTTGGCCAAGCCTTCTGGTCGGAGAGGCCGTTCAGAGGTGGGCCGGTGACGGAAGCGAGTGTTGTTCCTCCTTTGTGAGGCCTTCCAGTCGGAGAGGCGGGCCGGAGTCGGAAGTAGGCGCCGTTCCTCCTCGGTCAGGCCTTCCGATCGGAGATTGGATTGTCCTTCTGGCCTGTCGTTTAGGTGTTTGGGCCGGCCCAAGAGTTTGCGCGTCGTTCGCAACGTTGTCTGCTGGGGCGAACCTTTGCTGGAAAGCCGGTTCATAAAGGACCCCGGGTTTATGAACCCGACACACCCACTCGGCCTTCTTTCTCATACTGTCTCACCACGCTGCCATAAGTGTCATTGCAGATGTTACATGACCATCTAGTACATCTGCTGGGAGGAAGGAGGAAGAGAAGAAAGGTGTCCCAACAAGTGGTGGGTGAGAGGCGGAGAGCGGCTGTCTCACCCCCTAATATTTGGCGGGCTTCATCTAGCACATACATTCAATGAAAACAACATAAACTTATGATGGGCGAGGCACCATAGATATACTCTTAGCGCAACATTGAGGCTAGACATACAACTTTCTAGGAAGCACCCCACCGAGAGCCTGGTAAGCATACTCGTCCATAAACCCATATATAAACTTAATTTTATGAGTTGCTCGTGACAACCCATAAGATTAAATTTATCATACGTTGGTTCGTGAGCTGGCCTGCTTGCATCTGCAGATGGTTCCTCACCCACCCTCACGACAAGATGGCCAGCACCGCATGTACTGTGCTCGGATTCTCGGAACATACGAGCGAGCGTCACGTGTACGAGTCCGTACACGGATAGGACTTGATACATACGCCCTCCATTATAATTATAATGATGCTGGGCTTACTCCGACGTCGTACTACCTTGTCACGTGAGCGCCCTATCTTGTGCTGGTAGCGTATATATCTACAGTGGTTTGTACATCCTAAACTAAATTTTCTAGTGATGTGCACACAGTGCGCGTGTATGGATACTGGACCCCCCTAATATGCCGTTGTGCGATGTGCGCTGCAAAGGCGAGGAGAGATCCATGCATGCGTCCACGTCCACCTGGCTCAGCTCACTTAGCTGCATCCGACTTTGACTGTGGCACCCCATGTGGTCCAGATGAAGAGAGCATCATAATACATCATCATCAGTCTCACTCTCCCCTCACCTCCAGCAGGGGTCAAGGGCGGACTGTCAAGTAACTATTGCATGGCGAACATTTGCAGGTGCCTCAACAGCAGCGGCGCCCAGATTTTCCAAGACATTCCTTTTCACTGATGCAAAGGTGGGTTAAGGTTGATGCACGCACCATTGTGCGGCCTTAACTCCCGGCGTCGCTCACATGGAAAGCTAGGCGGTGTCGGCTCACCAATCTGCGTAGGGGCACTGTGGCCACGAGGCTACATCATCTTGGACACCTGGCCGATGCCAATCTATCTCGAAATGTTACCATCTTGGGGCCAGATAGATAGGATGCGAGGAGAAACCGGTGGAAAATTCGAAACTCATAACCAGCCCCTGCATTAGAGTGAGACATTAGATGGTGAGAGACTTGAACCTGAGTAGGGACGATCGATCGATCGCCTCGGCGCGTAGTACATACAGTACAAACATGTAACAAGGACCCATACGGGCGTGTGCGTGCTGGCAAACGCGTACGGACAGCAGCTAGCAAGGACGCGCAATGATGACGGACGGGCGGGCGGGCGGAAGAACGGAGCTCCCTCGCTGCCTGCCATCCGTCCCGTGGCAGAGGAGGGAACAGGGAATGGATGTCCGGACTCGCCCCCGTCCGTCCGTCCGTCAAGCCCAGCGACCCCCATCTTGCTGGCCGCGACAGCGACCGCCCGGAAACCCGATCCGTCCAGTCGCACGGGGAATCATAAAGAGTCTGTCTACTTTCATACCCATTCGTTCGTTTTATACAGTTAACACATTATTTTTTTTTACCATAGAATTAGATCTAACAGCCTCCACCTTTCTTCTACCTCCAATCTCCACAGATCACAAATCATAATTTTTTTTCTATGAAACGACAAATCACAGATGCTCCGCCGCCGCCGGCGACAGTGGTCACCGGTGAGAGAAAAAAAAATCCATGTGTTTTTTTTTTTACTAAAATACATATAATTTGTATAGCATTTCTCATCATAAATACGGATCACCGCGGCCCCAGCGCCCCGCTTCGCGCTCAGCACCAAGGCGGGTGAGCGACGGCGCCGACGCCCGCCCGCGCCAGCTCGCACTGCGCGTGCTACATGACCCCGCCCTCCCTCCGACATGGCGCTCGCAAGCGCGCGCCGCCAGCCAGCCTGTGCACGCAAGAGAAGAGAAAGCATATGTGCACTCCATCGGTGGTCGTGGGTCGGCCGCCGGACGACCAGACCAGACCGGCCGGCGAGGCGGCACGGGCACGGGCCGTGCGTCCATCCGGACGTCCGGCTGCTTGATTGGCTCTGAGGGCGCGTACCTTCGGACCCAACAGTGACAGTGGATCCCATCCACGTGAGATCTTCATGGGCGAAGGGGAAGCCGCTTAATGGCGCGAGTTACAACGAGTCTCCATGATTGTCTGGTTATCGGTGCCCTGTCAAGTCCCGCATCACCATTACTTCGCCGAGAGCAACGGGCAAGACCAGGCTACCACCACATGGCAGCATGGACCGATATGTAATGTAACCAGCAGATAGACTGTACTGTACTACTCCTATGTAAATATGAGATTTTTCATCGACAACTACTACCAACAGGTTGTAGATTAGATATCAGAAAAGAAAAAGAGGCCACCACAAACAGCAAACCGCGTACCTGATACTGTGATGCACATGCAACACTGGAAACCCATCCTACCACTGCTCCCTTTCTCAAGAATTACCTGTTCAAGACGAGCAGATTCAGCAGTCAGACATTAAAAGAGCAATTCGAGCCAAAACTGAAGTGGGAATGCACAACGCACCAGCGGATGACACTGTGCGTCCCGGACAGTTATGCTCGGTGTGGTTGGGCCTTTCCAATCATATATTAAATGGCTAATCATCATGCAATTAACATGCCGCCATCTTTTAAATCAAGGGAACAGCCTACAAAAGAGATCTAGCAGCCCCTACACAGAGCATGCTAAGACCGGGGAACAATTATGACGCAGCACCAACAATGATCCCCGACGAAACGCTACAGCGCCTCAAGCCGTTCCAGTCAGGAGCTTTGCTTAAATCTGAGATGACACTCCTCTGCACGCATGTGATCGCGAGGACCAAACCAACAACATGGGAGCTGGGCGCGCAGTCCTCACAACCATCACAAGATCTCAATCCGTGTGAGTCATGATATTCTGGAAAGGGTCACAAGACCAAACCTGCTGTCACCTCTGAAAGCGAACAAGCCTGGTCATCCAATAAGGAAAGGGCTGATGGAACCAGATGGCGAGGCTGTTCATGGCCAGAACCAGAGCAAAGAGTAACTCTTCACGGCAGACACTAGGAGGTACATGAGATACCAACTGGAATACGATGATAGATTCGCTCCAAAGATAACATGGTGATCTGACTTCTTGTTTCCGCTTCCGTGATCTGTCTGTTCATTGAATTTCCCTGAAATCATAGCCAAACATGTCCGTGAGAACATTGTTATGGGAATCAAACAACATCATGGCCAAAAGAACTAACCAATGGGAAACAAGCAATGATAATTGTATTCCTAGGCATAAACAGAAAGATAAAAATGTCACTCCATGATGCCATAGCAATGCAGGATACATAGTTTGTTTTCCTAAGTGTTATAAAAGATGCACACCCAAAACTAGATTCCAGCTATCAGAAATGTATAGTTTGATCTCCGCATAGTATGTGAAGGCTAGCTGCTCTAGTGTCAATAAAAACTATTGTGTTGCACTGTTTTCCTTCCTGGAGCAAACAGAACAGGGAAAGCTAACACAACAGAAGTATGTCCTTCAAATGATTACTGTTTTGATATCATCTGAAAATGACGCACGCTAAAGACAGTTGTAAAATGCCAAAATGAAACAGTTTTTACCAAGAGAATGCTCTATACAGAACTCTAAAAGTGCCCTTTACAAATTATGATCCTAGAGGCTAGTATGCTTAAACTAAAAATAAAGTAAAGGGTCAAATCAAACACATGTATCAGATCTTTAAAAAATTAAATCAAAGCAAGTGTTTTTTTTTGGACACCAAAGCAAGCGTTAGGCTATTAACAACCTCTATTCTGGATACAGTATGGGTCATATGGGTGCATAGTGCATAACAAACTATGCTGAATGGCTGGTTATCATTTGCCCATCACATCTTTTACATAATGCTAGATGCGTGATGGCAACTGAGATACAAATAAATGGACAGGTTGTAATATTTCGATACAGCTCTGCTTAAGGACTTCTTTGAGACCTTTGAACAAAGACTTGGACAAACACATGCTACATATCCAGCAAAATATATATAAAACTAACAGGAAGGCATGTCGTATCATGTTCTAGTTACATCGCTCAAATGGCCTTCTGACTGTGTGTCTTTTCCATGTGTACACTGCAAATAGCATCTGCAAAAGGTTGCGGAACATGCATCTGAGCACAAACTCATCAACAAACAGCACAACAGAAGAAAAATTGAACCATGTAGAAGTAACTTCAGTACATGTATTTGTGAACCATGCACTTTATATATAATAACTGCACCCCCAAATACTCAAGCAGTTGGGGGCCAAACAAGTCGAGAAAATTTTTGTAGTGACAAATTATATGAACCATATCAGTTCCCAGAAATTCCCTATCCTTCACAAGCACTGGTGGCTATCTAACTAGCCATTTAGCCAAACCTGGGATCGATGCATGACAAATAGCATTTCCTAGACCAGAACAATAATCATAGAATTATAACTGACTGACAAAGATGTAACTCATATTTGAATCATGTATATCAACAATTATATTTGAATCCTACTTAGAAGATACCTACTTAGAAGTAAGTTATACAATTATATTATCCCAACCAAGTTGGAGTAGATCATAGAACACAAGCTTTAAATGCAGGAAACAAACAGTTGCAGCAGTAATAGCAATTAACCCTAAGATGTGATACTTAATGTTTCTACAGCTATGCTATCAAGATTGCTGAATAAACATAGGCATAGGTCCAAGTTTCAATCAGAGGACAAAAACCTTGACACCGTATAACAACCATATACTCCTCACAAAGACTTCACCACATGAGGTAGCCAAGTTATTGCATTGAACAAATCAAAAGTTAGTGAATACAAACATCACTTCTAATCATGGACTGAGCACTGCATTTCTCATTCCATCACTTCAAGAATCAAGACTGCACTTTGCTGAAGCTCTTATACCTACAAAAGTCATGACCTATTACAACAACTAAACTAGTTCAGCTACCGACCAACCACTAATACCAAGCCCCCAAAACAAAAAAAAAAAAAAAAATCAGAAAACAGCATCCCCAAGGCATTATAATTAAGAACCCTCAACCACATAGCCTGAGTGTATAAATTAGGACTGACCACAAAAGAAAAAATTTATATTTTTGTAGTTTGCACAAACAAAGAAGCAAAGAACATGCACCTTTGAGGCAATGTTTCACATTCTTATAGTGCCACTTATGCAGATGCAGGAAGTAAAGGAACATGATAAGCATCGGATTTTTTGCCTTCTTGCAGTTCTTTTATGGTTTCATTCAATCTGGTCTGACTGCAATTGTCCTGCTTCATGTAAATGGTCTAACCTAGATATGCAAATTCACAGCCAAGCAAATTTTGAACCAGGTTCATGCACCAGCCTCTAATTGTTATCCAGGCAAAGTCAAAAGTTCCAGTAGTAGGTTGCAACTGACAAGGCCACACAAGCATTTATGATATGATAGACCTTTTGTGAATCCATGACCAAGACCTCTTACAAGCATCATCCAACAGTTGTGGACCTCTTACAAAGAATCATCCAACAGTTGTTCGTTCAGTTAAGCAACAAATTTCAGCCATATCCTGTACTCTTGTGAAACAATGCAGCAAGTAATTTCAAACTCAACATATAAAACTGAGATATGGGCGCCAACTAGTCAGGACCCAGGAACAGGAGATGGACCTTGATGCAAAGTTATCATGAGCCTTTATATAAGATAAAACCGCTGAATATCAAGTTGGCTTCATGCATCCTCAAGTTGCAGCTTGATTGTTCACACAAATCGTTCAACTAGGCACAGATCTTCATCATTTTCTACTACTCTAGCTCATCATAAGACCTAACAAATATGTTAACATCAATCAGTAACCTTATGGTCAACCCCACATCCAAATTTAATAAGCCAATCATATTGTGCGACTGTTACTTCAGCATATTTACAAAATAAGCAGCCAAACATTTTTTTTCCTGTTGCTCTTGTTTTGAGTACGAGTGTCAAAGAAAAAGGAGAATAGGACACACATTCAATATATTGCAACAAACAAAGAAACTAAATGATGCTTGAGTTGGTAAAGGTAATCTGTGAGGATGCTAACACCGAAAATTGATAAAGACTGCAGGTAGAAGAACATAATTATAACATTGTTACAAATGTCTTAAAATTTAATCCTATTGTAAAACAGCCTGCAGGTAGAAGATAAACTTGTCAGCTTGGGGAAACCCTTTGTAAGCTTAAGCTTCCTTATTCTACTATACATGTACAATTTAGCCTCATGGATGGAGAAAAACACCAAATTCTGAAGCAATTAAAATTTTTCTATACCTCAAATAAAATAGAAGCAAAATTTACCTGGAAAAGAGGAGATTGCAGACAACCTTGACATCATCGTATAAGGCAGTTTTGTTGTTTAAAGACTCCAACAGTAGATGTGTCATAATCTATTCATCTATCAACATACAAGTATTGCAGCTTTGTTGTTGTAGTTTCAATACACCTTCCAGTAATTTGTGCAATCTGATGTGATTGCTCCCAGGGCATAGCCATCTGAAGTGTACACTTTGAGATCAGAAGCGTCGAAAGCCTATCTGTAAGTCGCTCGAAGAAGCATTGTTAACTATATTGGATTTACCCAACTACAACCAGTTCTTTTCTTCAATGATCCCTGGTTGATTGTATCCCTTACTTGTTCAACAACATTCCACCTTTCTGAAGAAGCATTTAGGTTAGATACTGCAACAAGATTTGATGGTTTCCCTTGTTCCAATCTAAGAAGAGACCTGGAAGCCAAATCTTGGATTTCTTCGTTGCCGTACTTAACAGAGGCATCCAGAAGTGCTCCCCAGACACTAGGGCCTGGCTCCACACTCATTGACTTCACAAAATCCAGGGCACGGTAACATGCCCAGATCGGCCAAGTAAATCAACCATGCAGGCACACATCTCCTCGGTTGGATGTACCCCATGATCATTTACCATGGAGCTGTATGTATTAAGGCCCTTCAACACCAAACCCGCGTGGCAACAAGCTGAAAGAACACCAAGTCCAATTATGCTGTCAGGTTTTACCCCAGAGGAAAGCATCTGATCGAACAAAGCAACTGCTTCGACACCCATACCATGAATGCCATAACCCAAAATCATTGCACCCCATGAGATCACATCTTTGCACCAACTGGTATCATCAAAGATCCGCCTTGCATAATGCAAGGCCCCACGCTTTGCGTATGTATCAATCAAAGCATTGTTCAGCGACACCTCAGCGCGCATCATCATTCTCACCGCAAAAGCATGCACCTGCTTCCCCTCTGCCAAGCCCGAGAGGGCCTCAATGGCCGAGAGCACAGTGATCAACGCGATCCTGTTTGGTGGAATGGCATCAATCAGTCACATCGCCCGGAAACAATCCACTGCATACTCAAACATACCATTCTCCATGTACCCTCCGACCATGGCAGTCCAGGAAACAACATTCCTCCGTTCCATCCTGTTGAACACCGTTCGGGCAGAGTCCGGGTGGCCAACCCTGCAGTACATGGACACAAGGCCGCTGCTGACATGGAAATCATCCTCCCCGCACATCCCAGCCCTGACCGCGTAGCAATGCAGCTCCCTGCCCCAGTGCGCAGACGTGCACGCGGGCAGCACGGCTGAGACTGGCGCGCACCCGTCAGCGACCATCCGCCGCACCAGGCCCCACACGTCGTCGGGCGAGTGCGAGATGAGGGTGTTGTAGGAGGACGCGGTGCGCGCGGGCATTTCGTCGAACAGGCGGCGCGCGAGGCCCGGGCAGGGGACGGATGGGCGCAGGTAGAGACGGAGCAGAGAGTTGGCGAGGATGGGGTCCGCGTGGCGGAGGGCGAGGGCGTGGAGGGCGGCGGCGGCGGAGGGGAGGGACGAGGTGAGGGCGGAGAGGGTGAAGGCGTCGGGGCGGCGAAGCGGGAGTAGGCGGCGGCGGAAGAGGTGGAGCGGGAGGTGCGCGTGGGACGGCTCCACGGAGGCGGCGAGCGCGGAGAGGAGGGAGTTGAAGACAGGCAGCGGGATGCCGACCGGGTCCGCGAGCACGGCCGCCAGTTGGGAAGCCACGGGCGCCGGAAGCGGGTGCATGGTGTAAGCCACGGCAGGCGGCCGCGGCCTGGCGCCCTGGCGGTACGAGGCGGTTGGATTCTTTTTTTTCCCTGAATCTGGTTGGGTTGGGCGAAGAGTCGGGCCGCGTCGGGGGAATGGAAATGGAGCAGGCCGCTTTTTCAGTGGCAAATTCCTCCCCAGCGCTCAGCGCGTGTGAGGTACACTCCAGTGGGCCTGACGATGGGGAAGTTCGGAAACTTAGGCCCAAAGGGGAAGGGCACGAAGGTGGAACGTCGTCTTCCCGGCTTCCCTCAGAGGGATGATGTTACGATTGGGCTTCCATGAAGCTTGGGTAGAGCTGGTGATGAAATGTGTGACTACGGTTAAATATCGAATCGAGTCAATGGAGAGCTGACAACGGAATTTAGCCTGGAAAGAGGACTGCGGCAAGGAGACCGGATCTCACCATACCTTTTCCTACTGTGTGCTGAGGGTTTTTCTGCTCTGTTGAGGAGCGAAGAAGAGGAAGGCAGACTGCACGGGATCCGAATCTGCAGGGGAGCTCCATCGGTCAGCCATCTTCTTTTTGCTGATGACTCCCTAATCCTATGTAAAGCCGATGCTACTGAGGCCCAGCGGTTGAAACAAGTTCTACAGATTTATGAGGAAGGGTCAGGACAACTATAAATGCGGACAAATCAGCAGTGATGCCCCAATACTAGTGACGATAAACAAGGCGTGATGGAAGCACTCAGCATCCGATCAGAAACAATGAATGAAAGGTACCTTGGTCTGCCGGTCTTCATTGGGAGATCAAGGAGTAATGTTTTCTCCTACCTGAAGGATCGAATTTGGCAAAGAATCCAAGGATGGAAAGAAAGGTTGTTATCTAGAGCCGGCAAAGAAATCTTAATCAAAGCAGTGGCACAGGCAATTCTAGTTTTTGCAATGGGCTGTTTCCACATTACCGAGGAAATGTGCAATCAAATCAGCTCCACGATGGCTAGATTCTGGTGGAATAATCAAGATAAAGAAGGTAGCATGCATTGGGGGAGTTGGGAGACTTTAGTTAGTCCGAAAGCTGAAGGAGGTTTGGGGTTTAGAGATCTCCATTCTTTCAACATGGCGATGCTTGCCAAGCAAGCCTGGAGATTATTACCGAATCCCACGTCGCTCTGTGATCGACTACTGAAAGCAAAATACTACCCAAATTCAGGTGTCCTAGAGGCGCAGACGAGGCCGGGGTGTTCATATACATGGAGCGGTATCAGTATGGGTATCGAAACTCTGAAATAGGGGGTCATTTGGCGTGTGGGTGATGGTCATAGTATAAAGGTTTGGGAGGATCCATGGCTACCAAGGGGTACCACTAGAAAGCCAATCATGCCAAGAGGAAGAAACATGATTCATACTGTTGATGAACTGATTGATCCAAGCACCGAGAACTAGGACATTGAGCTCTTGAACCAAATGTTCTGGGAGGATGATGTCAGATTATCAGAACAATTCCAGCTCACACAGATATGGATGACGTGGTGGGTTGGCATTTTGATACACAGGGTTGCTTCTCTGTGAAGTCAGCTTATAAGGTACACCGAGCAGCTGTGATTAGAAAACTAGGAAAGGCAGCAGGGATCAGGCTCTGGGGATGACACTGCTGATATAAAGTTTTGGAATAGCCTGTGGAATCTTGATTGTCAGCTGAAAGTGAAGCATTTTCTTTGGAGACTAAGACACAACACTTTGGCTATGAGGAGAGTGCTCCATAGGAGGGGGATGAAGCTTGATACACGTTGTTGCATGTGTGGTAGGCTTGATGAGGATGGAGGCCACCTACTATTTAAATGTAAAGAAGTAAAGAAAGTTTGGCGGGAGCTGAATTTAGAGCAGGCAAGATGCAGGCTTGCTGAAGCCCAATCGGCCTGACATATGACGGAGATGGTTCTGAAGATGAAGGGAAAGGAGCAACTCATGGTAGTCATGATGCTATGGCTATGGTGGGGAGAGCGGAACAAGTGGAGAGAGGAAGGAAGGAGAACAACTGTAGCTGAAATGGCCTATATTACTACATTCCATACTGATCTGGTGCTGAAGACTGACAGCCGGCTATTCTCGAAAAATCGTCAGAAGCGGAGATGGCAAAAACCGAGGACTGGTGAGCTCAAGTTGAATACAGATGGAGCTTTTAACAACGATAAGCATGACCGAGGATGGGGTTTCATACTCCATGATGATCAGGGGCGGGTTGTGAGTTCAGGAGCAGGGCAAGAAGATTTCCTCCTTGACGCTTTTCAAGCAGAGTTATTGGGCTGCCTAGCAGGCCTTCAGGAAGTAGCAAGGATGGGGATTTCACACACTAACTTAGAAGTGGATGCTGTCCTGGTGAAAGAAGCAATCCTGACGGATGACTACAGACTAGCCTCCTCTAGTGGAGTGATCACAGAGGTCAAGCATCTCATTGGACCCGATTTCATGTCATGTATTGTTTTCGTTTGTAAGCGTGATTGTAATAGTGTTGCGCATGCTCTTGCTGCGTATGGCTGCAATCTCCCAAGTGGAAGCTATAACACTTGGGAGGGGGTTCCTCATGTCATTGAGGAATTGGTGACCAACGATTTAACTAGGTCAGTTAAGTAATAAAAGTTCTAAAAGTTCAAAAAAAAGAGTTGTCTTCTCGACCACGGTATAGGATTCAGGGCTCCATCGTTTATTCTAGAACCATTCTAGCTCTCTCTTAAAAAAACGTTCTAGCTAAAATGATAGGCTTATTTGTATTAACATTGATTATTTGGAATAGTTCCTAGCCTCAATCTAGGCCAAACGAACGAGGCCTCATCAAGTTTTGTTCCCATGTGGATGGCGGGTGGGGCTTAGAGCATTTTTGTAAAAAGATTCTCTATTTTTGATTTTCAGTAATAAGAAAAAAATGCCCTACAGTTTAGTGAAAGACCTCGTTGAAAATAAAAGGTCACCAAATACGATAATGCTTCCTCTAAGATGTCCGTCCATCCAAACGACTCGCTGAAAGGTCCTAAATGGCTAGAGGGGGTGAATAGCCTATAAAAATTTTCTACAACAATACTTAAGACAATTAGTTAGACAACTAAATGGCGAAGCGAATGTTGCGCTAGCACTACAAGAACTGTATCTCGCGAAGTTCCCATCATGAGGTCCACTTGCATGTCCCTTAACATCCGGTCCTGAGAACTCAAGAGGGTCTAATGGCGTTTGCATCCCCAGCGGTCTTTCTTGTTGTTGTGGATGGTTGAATCTTCAGTAGGCCCTCCCTTCTTTTCCTTGCCTTTGGGCGCTCAAGGGCCTTCTGTAGCTCTTGCTTGCATTGTTCCTTTTCTTCCCTCATGGTCGACAGCTATGAGTTTAGCATGAGTAGCTCCATCCTTAGTGCCTGTACTTTAGCTTCTGCCTCCTTGATCTTGGTGTTCTTTATCTTCAACTCTATTTCCTGGTTCTCGTAGAGAGTGTCGAGTGCATGTAGGTACTTGGCTGTAGTCATGAGAGGGTACTCTAGCGCTTGTGGCTTCACCTTTTCCATTGCCTTAATCTTCTTACGCCAAACAAGAGAAGTCTGATCCATCACTGGGAAGAACTTTGCATGAGTGTTGTTGATTTCTGCTTCATACTCTTAGCAAATGTTCATGAGAGCCCGGCGTGTGTTGGCGGTCTCTATAGATAAAATCCGACCACCAAATAAGTCACAAAAGAGGAGAAATTAGCAATCTTAATTACATATGCATTTACTATTAACCAAGTTCCACATGTATTTGGAGAACATTATTTTGCAGGTCACAAACACATACATGGAATAAATCACCAAAAGGCGCTTTCCGACGCTGATTTGCGCAAAAGAACAAGGGAGACGCCCACCAACTCAATTCAAATTGGGCAAAACCCCACGGAGTAGTGATCCATGACCAGCCCATGGCTTGCCACGCAAAGGCGGTGGCGAGGCGGCGCAGTCAAGGGGCGGCCGGCCCCCTGCTGGCTCGCCTCAGCCTCTCCTTCGACTGGCGGCGGCAAGGCTCCATGCTAAGGTGGTGCAACCTAGGGCTTCACGCCAGGAATAGCCAGAGCACCGTCTTAGAGCCGTGTATAAATAGAGGGGCAACCCCCCTCTCAACACACCACATTGAGCAACACCTCACTCTCTACTCTCTTTAGTTTTACCTTTTAGTTGTATTAGAGCAAGGCAAAGCCGCCTTGAAGGGCTTGGCTCCTTGGAAGAAGAGATTCTTGGTATGAATATCAATATGGGTTCTTCCAAAGTCATGTCTTCACTTTATTATTATAGTCATACTTATGAACTAGAGTATAGTTATTGTGTTATGATCTTGATATATGAACTAGTGTAGAGTTTATGTGTCATGAGAGTAGCACACTTAACTTTATACTTAAACAATCATATAACTTATATAATCGGAATTAGAGCTAAGTTGAGGTGGTGGTTCATCGTGCTGTCAGGTGTGCCTAAGTTCTTTACCCATTGATCCCTAGGGTCGGGGATTCGAGGGGATTTGGGTAGTTTCTGTATACGCAAGCGTGGTGCTTGGGTATGGAGAGACAGGTGAATGCATTGTCCTACTCTCCGGTTGAGGGGTAGGCGGCAGGTGGTGACAACCCTATCCGTCCTTCATAATCCCCCATGTTCGTTTAGGGTTAGAAGTCTAAATTGTCACATGAGGTTGCTGGCAAACCAGTACTCGGTGGCCTCCCGACCTGCTTCACACAGCCCTAAAACTAATTATGTAATTTGTATGATTATCAACTAATCTTTGTATGACTACACTAGACCAATGCTTGCTGGACTTGAGGAATGCCAAGTGTGTGTCCACTATCTTGGAATTACTATTCTTACCCCTGTTATAAACATTGGTGTACTTGCAAGCATTATTATTCAAGTTCATATCCATACTAGAATCTTAATCAAATGCCTTCCTTTAGGAAAATATAAATAACGATACCCTGAATACTTCCGGGTGAAATGCTACAATGATAGCTCCGTGCACTTGTGGATAAAATTG